GTAAGTAACTCTGGCAAAACATGTAACTTCCCTGGGAATTGCATTTCTGTTCTCATTAATGAAACTATTTGACTTTCAGAATACGTTATGGCAAAATAAAAACACAGGCCGTGAGCATATAAAAAATGTACAGTATCATCTATAATCTAGAAACTGCTTGACAAAACGCCAAAGAAAATGAAAAACCCAAGCTGAATGCATTACAAGGCTCCAAAAGTATTTCATCTATAGTTAGAAAAACAAAACTGAGTCTCCTTATCTAAATATGGAGCATGGGAAGCTTACAGAAAAATAAAAAAGAAAAAAGGATGAAGCGTTGTTTTGCTATGTCACCAGGATTTCAATTACCTGGCAAGATATTGCTGTTGTCCCTTAAAATAAAATAAAACACGCTGGTGCTGGCAGACCCACGCTGGAGGTACGTGAGCATTTTGCCATGCGGGGAGCTGGACCGGCACGTCGTCCCCGCAGCGAGGGCTACTAGGAGCTGAAGATGGCAGGAAACCACTGCTGCCTAAACTGATGAGTAAACAGGAGTTAACATGCAAGCTTTTTACAAGCGATTTCATTTCTGTGAGTCCTGAAGACTTCTGGAACCAATATGTGGGCTTCCTCAGGCTCTCGAGAGGAAGCGACAGATTTCGAAGTCAAATAGCATTTTAGGAAAGCCACTTACATCTGGTATTCAAGTAGTTTGGTTTTTCAAAATGCAGGCTATTAAAATATTGATACATAAACAGGAAAGTTTGCTTTCCTGCTTCCTCCAGTTTGTACACACAGGGGAAAAAAAGCAAATCCCCTCTGACCACAAAGATACAGACGCTGCATTGCCTCACGAAACCACCGAAGGAATGAGGGCAGAAAGCCTTGTTGTTTTAGAAGTGTCAAACCAAGTGGTTATTAGTAAAAAGCAGGGAAAACCTTAAGCAAAAGGGCTGAAGTACCACCGCAAATTAGAGATCGGTCACAAACCCACTACTGCTGTATCACTTAGATGCCAAATCCTGCCTGGGATACAGAGGCCAGTAACTGGTCACATTGAGGAACAAAAATCTTCAGACCCTGGCATGCTTTCCCTGACATAGGTGCTATTTCAGAGTCAGTGGCAAGCGTCTCACGGCTGGTTTTTAAGTGTGTAGGAAAAAGATACACTGCAAAACAAAGTCCTTCACCATGCTCACCCCCTTCTGTACTCGCTGCCAAACCATAGGCACCTGCCACCGAGATAAATTTCTGCGGGGCAGAGTCCAATTTCCAGGGGTGAAAGTGGTCTCCAGGTAGACATTTACCTCCACCTTCCACTACTTTTGGCTTCCAGCTTCGATTTGGGTGAGGACACAGGGCTCTTTCATACCTCTACCCTCCATTAACCCTGACGTTGCCCATTAAACCACTCCTAAAATTTTCTTTCCTCCTTCTGGTGTTTACAGTTTTCAGCAGCTGTCTCACACATTCTCATTTAACAAGGTAGTTATTTGTCTTGAGATGAATTTCATAATCAAGCTTTGCCAGCTCAAAAGCATCTGCTAGCTTTGGAGTGTTGTGCAACATTTTTGATGGGTTTCAGGCTCACTGCAGTATCACACGTGCCACACAGGATGGATTATTTCATCAGCCTCTGCCTACACTGCCAAAGTCCAAATTTTTCTAGGGAAGTTTTATAAGTTCTACATGTTCATACCCAAACTGCCTGCAACCATTTCTTTCTAGTATTGCCGTCTCCCCAAAGCTGTTTGCCTTCGGAAGGATGGCTATATTGCCTTTGCATTCACCACATGACTCCGATCTTACTTCCTACTTTCAACACTTCAGCAAACTGCTGTGTCTCACTATGGACACAAGAAATACAGCTTCTCTCTTTTACAGACTGTAAAAATAAGCGTGTTTTAGGATGAGAAGAACAACTCCAAGATTTCTGTTCCTCATTGACTGCAAGATGTTTTTCCCTGGCGAAGAATTTAATCAGGGAAATGGTTCGTCCTTACTGGTGCCCAGATTTTAGCACCCTCTTTCATTTCCTATTGCACTCAGCAAAGCTAAATTAGTTCTAGTAATGTCTTTGGCCAGATGTTCACAGCTTAAAGAAAAACAGCATGCAGGCTGCTGCAAAATCTTAACAGTTTTAGGAATACCAGCTGACAGTCTAAACTCATACTTCAAGCCCAGCTCTGTTACTAACCACAGAGGCATTCTTCATCCTTCAGATCCTGCCTTAACGTGCCACAGAAAAACAGAAGAAAAAACAATTTCTGCATCTTTGATGTCACCTTCAAATAATTTATTCAAAAGGAAGAACTTCACCTCTTACTTCAGAAAAATTCTTAGGGATGGTTTTCATGCTATATCCAGATTTTTCAAGGGTTATTTGTACCGTCACATTGACTGCTTTAGTCATCAAACACATTTCAACTTCCAACAAATTATTACCTCTGTGATTTTGAAAAGCCTTTTATGAATCTGAATGACTGCAAGGCATTTCAGTACAAAAAGGAAAGCTCAAACACTGAACCTGAATGGTTATATAAAAATGTCACATGAAAGTTCAGCCTGAAAATCAACTTCTCAGCTGACCGCGGTTTCATTTTAACTTTTCGTGAACACTTAAAATTTTGTGTTTCTAATTCTCCCAGAGCAAAGCATCACCTGTCCTGCAAACAGAGGTGCCTCAGGCCTCACCTTGGATTGGGATTTCCCAGCACCATGTCACTAGAGCTAGCTGGAAAACTGGTCTCATCCCAGAAAGAAAAAAACAAGCAATACAAGAAGTTTTCCCCAAGTCTTCTCAAAATTATCCTGAGGTGCAACAGGTAGGGGCCAGGGGGAACAACACATGAGGCACTGGATTATACAGCTGACAGGACACTTAGCAAGGATATGTCAGACCCAAGTTTATATCCAGATCTTATCTAATTTAAAGCAGAGACCTGAAAGTTGATCTCCTGCTACCCAGATGGATGTGCTAAGCTGACACTGTGCGAGGAAGACAGCGGGGGCCCACTCACCTTCTGCAAGAGCTCAGCCTCCAGGTACTGAGACACTGCCTGAAGTTTCATTAAAACCAACCCTTTTTCTCATAGACAACTGAATATTAACGGATCAATTCCTCCCCTCTCCACCCCCAAAAAGAAAAACGTAGCTGATTTGGCTCTAGATAGCTCTAAGACAGGAAAAGTTCCTGCCTTAAAGATTTTACAAATATATATATATATATATATATATATATAAATGAATTAGGTTGCAATGCTGATGTGCTGTTTGCAAAACAGGGTCACAATGACGTTCAAAAATTAAACTGATGGAAGAAGACGGTGACTATCATTTAATCACACAGCAGTAATTTTTAAAAAAGAAGAGTATCTGCCATCTTTCAAGTCATAACTAGAATCACCAATTCCACTCCTGTGTAGCAGCAGTTTTCACTAGAGGCAACTCATCTGGCTGCATTCTCTTTTTTCCAAGCTGCTTCCAGTCTTCCCGGTTCTGCCTTCCCGCAAGCAGCTTACCAGGGGAATTTTGGAGCCACTTCTTTAGGCTCCAAAAATAAAACTCTATGTCTGCTGTCTTCTTAAGTCCTCAAAACAATCTGTCACATCAGTTCAATGTCTCCTTTCATTGACTTACCAGCTTCTTCCTTCCCTGAAGCTCACCTTCCTATCTCCTCAAGTCCTTTCCTTCTCACCAGCATTTTCTGGTCTAGTTTCCCCACCACGCTGTCCTTCCAATTTTAAATCACTTTTCCAGCTGCCCCTCACTCCCTGCCATATCCTACTCAGCCTAACGCTGCCAGTTCTCATCCTGGGGATCTTTCCCTTTGCTTTGTTACTGCAGATTGGCTTCTGCTTATTTTAATATAAAAATGAGAAAATAACTGATTGGTACATGTGTAAATAGGTTACCTCAGGAAAACAGAAGAAAAAACAACATGGCAAAAAAACCATTCTTGGTATTGTTAAGGTTTTCTGCCATGCTGCTGTTAAGAAGCTTTTAAATAAGAAAAAAGAAGGAGCCTTTAAATGACAAAGGTGGCAAGGGAGCAGCAGGAGCACTGCATATCTTGGGTCATCCAAGAGTTCTGCATTAGACGTCTGATTTAGTCATGAACTCTGGCACAAACACTTTTGACCTCGCCGGGGAATAGGTCTGAACTAAAACAACACTGCAAGATCTACACATTTTTGAGTCATGTGTTTCAAATGAAACATTCTTGCCCATTAAATTTGGAGGTCATTAACTAACAGTCCAAATAAGGGAAACCAACATGAGCAACACCCCAAGCAATCACGTGGATCTAATTGCATGTACATCACACAGTAGTATTTCAACACAATATTCCACTTGCGCTACGCTGTCAATGTGTGCAGAACCGCATGGCAGCTTTTCTGCTGTTGCAGGAGGCAGAATAACGCTGACAGCCTCGTGCTTGAGGTGGAGGAAGACTATGGATGGGAAGCTGCATTGCCGTTTGTTCAGATAACCACTTGCAGTGTAAGAGCATCTTTCCAAGCTGGATTTAATTTGCATGTTCAGGATGGTTCCTGAGATATTTTCCCATTGTAATACCCACATCAGTGTGGTACAGCCCTTCACAGGCACAAATATATCTTCTAAAAGCAATCTGTGACTTCAGTATAGGCACACAAGAAAGACTAATACATCCCTCTACCAACTACAAGGGAACAACCCCCATTTCTTCTCAGAGGTAGAGAGTTATATTTGTGTGTAAACCAGCCAGGAAACAATGTTGGTTTTTATTTTGAGGATGCATACAAAAGTGCAATGTACTTGCTTGCACTGCACTGAGAGGTGATAAAATTAACCACTACCAACCACAAACTTGGCTTTTAAAAATGTGTATCCACCTAGCTCAAAGATTCAGCCTTTCCTTCTAGCTTTTCCTTTCCTTACTAGCCTTTCCTTCAGACATGAAAATTAGCAATAGCTGTTGGAAAGGAGGATACTAAATTAAGAGGAATAAAATGTGTCTTGCTTGAACAACTCACCTGAGAATCTATTTTAATTAGTGCAATGTCAGCTTTTTCATCAACATCTTTAATTTTAGCTTCATACGTTTCACCGTTCTTCAGTTCCACCTTCACTCGGTTTTTGTTGGTGACAACATGGGCGTTTGTCACTATCAGACCGTCTTCCGAGACGATGAACCCTGAACCACTGGCAACAGGAATCTCCCTCTTTGAATAAGGAAGTCTAAAAGACATGGGAAATAAACATTTACCGCTGCAAAAAGTTGCAAGATCACAAACCATTCTAAATGATACGCAGCCAAAAAGGGTTTGGTGGTTTTTAATGCTTTAGGATACCTGCTGTTACTTGCTATCATTAAGAAGATAACGCACATGCATTAGTTTTAACTTCCCACCCCCGCCCCGACTCTCAAATTATCTCTAATTCTTAAGCATGACAAATATTTATCATCTCAAAAACCTCTTTGCTATTACATAGCATCAATCAACACTTCTGGCACACTGGCAGCTGTTTTCAAGAATACAAAAATCAAAACTGGGCATCTTGTTTACTTGCGAAATAATTCAATGTGAACCACAGCAGGAGCTATCTTCTCCACCACATCTGCAATAAAGTTGTATTTGTGCCGCAGGCTATTAGGATGTTCTTGGCCTGAAATAGAAACAGAAAACATGTCATGAGTTCCTCAAGTGACAGGAGAAGGGTCATTGCAAAACACCTGAATTAAAAAAAGCTCCAAGTGGATATCTTTCCCCTCCTTAAAAGTCATCTGCAGCATAACCCTTGCCCCTAGATTTCCTTTCTGCCTCTTTGCACAGAGGAGACAGCATGCTTTATCATTAGGACAAAGGGATCCATGAAACCTTCTTGCTTCACGTGCACGTAACTGGGCCGTGGGGCAGCAGATCTGCTGCTCCAAGCCTGGCCGTAGCCGCAGACCCTGGTTCAGCTTGCCCCACCGCTGGCGGCTCCCGGGGATCGCAGGGATTAGACCGCGTATCCCATGGCCCGCCCTTCCTTACTCTTCCTTTGAGAAAGGGATTTTGTACTCAGATGCCTCCATTTCTGCTCTCACCTCTTTTCTCAGTGGTCTATTTAGCTTGTATGGTCTTCTCAGATTAAACAAACGGGCTCTGTTCCTCTGCCAAAACACGCCTTCTTAGTGGTTTTTGAAGTCTCATGCTGCTGCATTTGTAAAATGCCGAGGACAACAAGGTCCTAACCCCAATGTAAGCCTACAGCAGCTGCTGTGGAAGTTTAACTCGGGTACGAGGCTCGTGCTTTCTCTCCCACTGGTGTCCCCACACAGCTTGAGCCACCAGCCTCTGCCTGGCACCTAAACGTGGATGCATGTTATATATCCTCTACACAACCATACTCAAGGCATCCTTTCCACTGCAACCACCTGTGGTCCATCAACTCCACAGAGGAGTGGATCCCACCTACTCTGGAGTTACTGAACCACCCTCAAGGCTATAAAATAGATACGGACACGAAAACAATGGGACCACAAAGCTCTGCATTCCTGGGCAGTGCTGTAACACAAAAGCTCATGGTCACTGAGTATTCAAGGGAGGTCAGTGGGATTTTCAAAAGCAACTGGATACCAAACTCCTATTGTGGCCATCAGAAAACCTGTCTGCACCATCAGATGTCTGAAAATCACTGGAACAAACTCACAGTTCTGACACAGCTTCCCCTTCTCAAGTAGCTCGGTGACAAAAGGGTTTTTATTTTAAATTGGGAGCAACTAAGCAATTGGAACACCCCAAAGAATTATTTTGTATTTCCCTAGAGGCAAGAAACACCCTTTGTTTTCATTAGTCTTCCCATGTTATCTGATGCATCCATCTCATGTTCTGAAGGCACAAGCCTTGCAACTGACTTTCAGATGAGTATTAATGTGCTGTGCTGCTCCTATCCATCCTTGCCATTTGGCTTCTAAATCCGTCCAGAGATTAAAGCAGTAAGCAGCTTGTGTACGTGCCTGTGATGGTGTAACGGGATGATTTATTTGCAGAATTGCAGAAGGAGACACAGGACTGTCCCATAAAATCATCCCAATACCTGAACGACCTTCATCATCTGAACACCAGGCTGGAAACCTATGCAAATTTTTAAGTACATACTGGAGGCAAAAACACACGGCAGGAGATTCAGAGGAATGATTTCAGAACAAAACGTTGCTGCTTTTAATACCAACCAGATACTGGCTTGATTCAGGGGTGAACAATGGGTTTCAGGTGACTTACCAATGCCAACTAGCATACACTGCCCTCATGAGAGGGGTGGATGCTCACCCCAAACACTATGCAATCGCTCAAGAACATGTTTTTTTCCCATTTATACCCTGTGAAACATCTCAAGGGCTTTTAAATGCAATTAATCACGAACAGCAGCCACAGCAGTAACCACATAATCCGCGATGCAGTTTCAGATCACAGTTCAGAGATGTTAATCTGCTTTATGAAGCAGGAACGTTGATCAGGAAACCTGTGTCCTCACCTACTGTTTTCTTCACAAGTATTCTGTGCTTTCCCTGATTTACGTATAAGCTGTTTTCCTTGGACCTTAATGCCAGAAAGGCATAAGGGCTTGCTGAATGACAAATATCAATTTACCAAAGGATTTATGTTCTCTTTATTGGAAATAGTTGGTATCAAATGAACCCATCATCGCTATAAAGCTGACAACTATAACGGGAGTGTTTTGGAAAACTGGTAGAAGAATAAGAACTGCAGTTTGGGAGTATTCACTCGCATTAAATAGGAGCTTTGACAGATTATCAGATTGGATTAATGCGATGTTGGGATAAAACGCCGCAGGGCACTACTGTATCCATCAATATGCTTTTTGATCCCTGCTTATAAAATGATTTCATCTCAGTTACAATGCCATAGACGTTCAAAGGTCACATCCTGCCCTTGAAAAAGAGAGCTCCCACGGATGAGGGAACTGCACAGGAAACACACAGCTTTTTTTATGCCTTCAATCTTTTTTGCATTTAGCTATTCAAGAGGAGAAAGGATGCCTAAGCTGTACATGGTGAGACTACTAATACTTCACCTCAGAGCTGCCTTCACTTCGAGTCAGAGGCTACAAACGCCAAGATTTCAGAAGTGACAGTATCTTGCGTATAATCCACCTCCTTGCGCAGTCCCAAACTAAGCTGCACCATTAAAAGGTCAAAATTTCATACTCTGAAGAAGTTAGATAATAAATACTGATTCATGGCATACTGACCTAAAAAGCTTACAGCAGCTTGCCACGCCTGCCTGTTGCTTATGTATTAGGAATTCTTGCATTGTGTAACACAGTTTTGCAACAGCCCTTGAACAACTGCCCATTTAAATGGAAAACATACCTTTTTAAAGCAAATAAACAAAATTCAGAGTACTAGTCAGATGAATTCATTGATGAATGCTAACAAAAAAAATTCCTATCAACTGGTCTTCACCAGCATGTGACCACATAAAATCTGAAGGCTATAGTAAAAGTATTAATATGTTGAAAATTTCTTCTATCACTGAGAAAAAGTATCATGGGGGAAAAAAGATGAGACCAAAAAGGACACGTGTGCACGCATACCATGTGCCCATTATATACTTAACGCTCACCATAGCTAATTGCTCTTTGGCATTACTGAGCAATGCATGTGAGAGCCGAGAGGTGCATTTATCTTTCCTATAAACAAGCACCACCATGTAAAATTTTATCTTAGATTTGAATCACCAGTAGGCATAGGCTACTACTTGGAAGCCTAAATTGGCATAAACACGCCAATAATACAAACCTAATATGAGCAGATGCTCATTCCTCAACCACCATACAGCAGTTTCCAGCCATCACCAGCCACTGTAGAAGACAGCAGTGAAATTCAGAACTTCTCAGGAGATACGTTCCTCTTCTCTCTAACACACACACATTTTTCCAGCTGTACTGGTAGTTCAGGGTTTTAGTAGAAAATACAGTTTTCAAAGTGGAATGGGTATCATGCAACATCCTCCAAGTTTACAGACTCTGTAGTGGTTTAGCGGACTGTGCTTGACTATTAAGCAATAAAAAAAGCCGTAGCTTTAAGTTTGGATGGATGATATGGCTTTGACTATTTAATCCCCACTGCCTGCGTATTACGATACATACATCTAACCACGACGTCCGTCCCGACTTACAGGTACCCTACAAGCAGGTGGGCAGCTCTTTAATTCCATACAGATTTCTCTGTTAAAAACTGCTCCTTTGGTATAACCAGTGTTGAATGCTTGAGAATAAAGCTACCCCAATTTGCTGGCCTTTTTCTTTTATCTTTAAGCCACACCCTTCTGGAGGTTTGTTCCTACTATTTTCTTTTTTTGTTTGTTTTGTTTTGTGTTTGGGGTTGGGTTTTTTGGTTTTGTATTTTTTTAAGCATTGAAAGGTAGGCTTGAATAAAGCTCTAATTCCTAAATCCCTTCAGGCTTTGATGTTCAGATCTTTGCAGACTGTCCCTCTTTCTATTTATATGCTGTGATTATTTGTGTTTTGTAATGTGTTTATTGAACTATTGCACAATGCCCTAAGTGCCCATGAGCATGGTTAAGAAACCTTTACTAATGACATTAAGATGATTGTTGTGAATTCAGTTAATGATCAAAAACTGACTTTAAAAAAAAACATAAATAGGTTACAGTATGAAAAATTCCCAAGGCAACTAAGTCTTCAAGGACTTCAAAGGTGTGCTGGCTGTCAGCCCTCAAACGAAAATCTCTGCCAACTGACATTAATAGGGCCAATACCAGTAAACAAACTGCCAAGAGGCAGGACAGAATACCAAGGCATGGGAAAAAAGCACACCCGGCTGTAAACAACTGAAATAATTTGGTTTCATAAAGATGAGCCAAAAATCATATTAAGATCTAGGTTCTGATTAGGTCATTACTCAAAGTGGCATTGATGCTTTAAGGCTTACCTCTCATACACACTGCTTTTGGTAATATTTTGAGCTAAACTGAAAGGATGCTTTGGAGATAGAAATCTCATAAGAAAGCAACCTCTCCCCTTCAGTTGTGAGAACTGTATCTGCTGTCTGGAAGGTCTTCTCTCAGCGTAGGTCCACCTCTCATGAGAGCAGCTCCTCACATAAAACTTTAGGTACATCACAGTCAGAAATGGACCTTTTTCCCATCCAGTTTTCATGTGGTTTCCCCCCCTTTCAAACAAGGGGGTTCTGCTCTCATCCATCAGGACCAGCTCAGCTCGCTGCCCATTCTCTTCAGCATCCCCTGCAGCTAGCCAGTGCTAAGGCATCCCCAACAGCCCCGTGTCTCCTTTCCACTGTCTGAAGCTACAACCAATACAGTTATCTCATTCAGTGGGACTTTTTATCCTAGATACAGGGAGGGGTAGAACAGGCATACCCCAGCAAACACCAGCAAGTCTCTCCCTCCCACCCTCACTTGATGTGACCACACCAGATATCCTCATGTCCTAAGTCAAAAAGCTCAGATTCAGTCTGGAATCAAGCCTTCGATTTCTTTAAAAACAGCAAGAAACTTTCATTCCCATTAAGATGAAAAAACCCAACAACTTCCCATGAAACAGTAACCAGCGAGACAGCTTCAACTATCAGTATTTGTAATTTTATAACTGTTAAAGAGGATGCTCGTATGCAA